TACAGAACACGGCAAAAGCAGATCGATTCTTGAGGTAGGACGGCGCCTGAGACAAATTGGGATCTGGAATTCCTCCAAGAATACCTGTTTCCAATGACCGGCATGTAGAGCACCCCCTATGACCACCCGCCCAAACGATGACGAACCAACAACACACACCCATACCCATAGAGAGGTCGGAGAGGGCTATGGGTGCGTGTTGTCGGATGGGGGTCCCCGCTCGAACGGGAGCGTTCCCCAAGGTCCGACAACCCGCACCCATACCCATAGCCAGTCCTCCTCCCAACGACCCCCCTATGGATATGGGTGTGTGTTGCTCGTTCGTCAAACGAAGAGTGAAGTGGCCGGAGACCCGGGTCGAGCGAATGGCGGCGGGCCAAAAGGAGCAGGCAAGGAGCCCAGGACACCCAGAGTGGAGCAGCGGCAGGCGGCCGGGCGGTCAGGCCCAGAGGGCGGACTCCTCCTGTTGCTGGTAGACCTGACACCGTTGATCGGCCTCCTCCTCCTCCTCCTCCTCCTCCTCATCCTCCCCATTCTCCTCCGCATCAGCATCAGCATCAGCATCATCATCATCATCATCATCAGCAGCAGCAGCATCATCAGCATCATCAGCATCATCAGCATCATCATCAGCATCATCATCATCATCAGCAGCATCGTCATCAGCATCATCATCAGCAGCATAGTCATCATGATCATCATCATCAGCAGCAGCATCATCAGCATCATCATCAGCATCATCAGCATCATCATCGTCATCAGCATCATCATCATTAACATCAGCATCAGCATCATCAGTATCATCATCAGCAGCAGCATCATCAGCATCATCAGCATATGCATCATCGGCATCATCAGTATCATCATCACCATCATCATCATCATCATCATCATCATCATCATCATCATCATCATCATCATCATCATCTTCATCTTCATCTTCATCATCATCATCATCATCATCATTATCATCGTCATCGTCATCATCACCATCATCATCGTGAGCATCATCTTTATGATCATTATCAGCATCATCATTAACATCATCAACATCATGATCATGATCATCATCAGCAACAGCAGCATCATCAGCATCAGCAGAAGCATCACCATAATAAGCATCACCACCATCAGCAACATCATCATCGTCATCATCATCAGCATCATCAGCATCATCAGCATGAACATCATCAACATCACCATCAGCATCGTCATCATCAGCATCATCCTCATCATCAGCAGAGTCATCTTCATCGTTATCGTCATCAGCACAATCATCATTATCATCAGCATCAGCAGCATCATCATTATCCTCATCAGCATCGTCACTATCACCATTACCATCACCATCATCTTCATCATCATCACAACCACCACGACCAGCATCATCATCGTCATAAGCATCAACAGCATCATCACCATCACCCTCATCATCAGATTCATCTTCATATGCAGCTTCATCATCACCATCATCATGATGCGCATCATCAGCATCATGAGCATCCTCATCAGCATCGTCACCATCACCATTGCCGTCACCGTCATCAGCATCACAACCACAACGAACAACATCAGCATCATCACCAGCATCGTCATCATCAGCATCATGGTGAGCATCACCAACACCAACACCACCACAAACATCATCATCATTACCGTCATCGTCATCATCATCGACAACATCGACAGCATGATCATCATCATCATCATCATCATCATCATCATCATCATCGGCAACATGATCATCATTACCGCCGTCATCATCAACATCATCATCATCAGCATGAGCATCATCATAGTCATCAGCAACATCATCATCACAATCAGCAACATCATCATATGCATCGGCACATTCAGTATCATCGTCACCATCATCACCGTGATCAGCATCATTAGCATCGTCGGCGTCCTCATCAGTATCGTCACCATCATCATTGCCATCACCATCATCATCACAACCACCACGACCACCATCATCGTCATCATCATCGTCATCAGCATCATCGTCATCATCATCAACATCAACAACAGCATCATCAGCAGCGACATTGTCGACATCATCATCATCATCACCATAGTTGTCATCGTCATGATCAGCATCACCATCACCATCATCAGCATCATCATCGCCGTCGTCAGCATCATCATCAACATCATCATAATCATCATCATCACCATCATCCTCATCCGCATCTTCATCCTCAGCTTCATCCTCAGCAACCGCACCACGCCCAATGCCACGTTTCCGTGAGCACTGTGCGCAGGCCGCGCTCCTATGCCTCCTCCGTATCATATGCACCCGCATGTTCCCTCGTCTGCGGCCGCGGATGGCTTCTCACTCGAAAACGCCACCCTGGTGCCCATACTACAATATCTCCTCCTTGCCTGTGCCACCATTCTTCGGGGAAAGCTCCTCCTTCCTAACCTCCCTTTTGCACGCCTCGCTGCGACAGGACATCTCATCGGAAGGGTTGTTCCAGAAGGGACGCGCTGCAAGGAGCGTTCAAGAGTGAGAACTAGGCTGCGGAGGACTGATCGACGAGGATGAGGACGTGGACGAGGAGGAGCTGGAACAGGAGAAGCAGGATAGACATGGGAGAGGCCATCCTCATAATCGGGGGGGGGGATGAATATGACGCAGAGGTGGCGGCGGCGGCGGCAGCGGATGATGCAGAGACAGGTGAGGAGGCGGAGGACGCGGGGACGGAGGGTCGGAGTCGGGGGAGCAGGGAACTGCAGTGGTGATGAGGGGGAGTGGAGGGCCACAGGGGAGGAAGAGGAGGCGACGCGAGGCAGGATAAGCAGGGGAGGGGGAGGCTGACGAGGACAACGCGACGAAAAGGATCACGCGGGCCGCAGGGGGGGACGGAGGCCGAGGGCCAGGCTGCGGCGGCACGCGGAGGTGGCCGAGGGAGAGGGGGGGCACGAGCAGGAGCATCGGCAGGAGAACACCGAGCAGCTCATGATGATGCTGATGATGATGATGCTGCTGATGATGATTTTGATGAGTTGATGATTTTGATGATGATGATGATCATCATCATCATCATCATCAGCAGCATCAGCATCAGCATCAGCATCATCATCATCATCATCATCATCATCATCATCATCTTCATCATCATCATCATGATCATCATAATCATCATAATCATCAGCAGCACCATCATCATCAGCGTCATCGTCATCACCATCTCATCAGCAGCAACATCCACATCATCATCATCATCATCATCATCATCATCATCATCATCATCATCATCATCATCATCATCATCCGCATCATCATCCGCATCATCATCATCATCAGCATCATCATCATAATCGTCATCATCACCATCATCTGCATCATCATCATCATCATCATCATCATCACCAGCATCATCATCATCATCATCATCATCATCATCATCATCATCATCATCATCAACTGCGGGAACTGTGCTCCTCACCCCCCTGGGGGGGCCCATCGTTTCTGCAATTTCTCCAAAGGGGGGCGTCGAGGCCGCTGGGCCCTTCGGGAAACGTGAGGGCCTCAAGCGCTGGCCTTGCGAGCCACAGGCCCAGGAGCCAGAGACGAGGTGGAGGAGCAAGCAGTGGAGGCGGGTGAGCAGGAGGCGATGGAAGACGAGGCCCACGCAGGTATGCCCCACGTGATCGTCAGGGCATGCCGCACGCCGCGGCTGCCTTGGTCGCACGTGCATGCACGCATGCGCCTCGGGGCGCCCCATCCCAGGGGACAAAGTGCTGGAGGGCCCCCCCCGCCCGGAATGTGGAAGTGGGGAGCGGGAGTGGGAACACCAGGGAAACTTGGGGTCATCCCGCTTCTCCTCCGTCTCCACGCTTCCTCCTCCTCCTGCTACTCCTCCCCCGCCTCCGTTCCTTCATCCGGCCGTGCTCCTCCACATCTTATTCGTCGTTGCCATCCTCCTCTTGTTCCTCCTCCTCCTCCTGCTCCTCATCCTTCTGCCTCCTAATCCTTCTGCCCCACGTCCCCATCGTCGACGCCGTACTCCCCACCTCGTGCCCCGTCGTTCTCCTCCTCATCCTGCCACCTCCACCTCCACACTGACCACTTCCTCCTCCTCCTCCTCCTCCTCCTCCTCCTCACACTCCTACTCTTCCTCTCCTGCCCACTCGCGGCCTGGCGGTGCCACCCGAACACGGGCGATTGCGCGAAGCGGCCGCCGAAGTGCCCCACGTGCGAGGCCAGGATGGCTCTCTCTCTCCCTCTCTCTGTTCTTCGTTCATAGCAGGGAGAGGCAGGAGCCCCAGAACTGTCGGGCCCCGGGGCCGTACAGAGAAGCCGCCCGGCACGGAACACCTGGCCCTTGGGGGGAGGGGGTCGAGGAAGTCTGGCGGCCTGCGCAGGGGACAACATCGGGGCGCCAGGTGTCTGGGAGTGGAGGGAGGGTCGGGGAGAAGAGAAACAAAACAAGTGGGAGGAGGGGGAGTGGAAGGGGGAGGAGCTCGCCAGCCGAGCAGGCCAGAGGCGTGCGAACATCTCCAGCAAGAGGTTATGAGGGCTCTGGGTTTCGCGAGAACGTGGCGGCCCCTGGGGGTCCCCGGAGAAAAACAAAAAACTGGGTGGCGCTCGGGCGTATTGCCGTCCAGGGTTAGGTCGGGCGTTCCCCCCTTCAGGTGTTTTTTGGTCGGAACATTAAAAATTATAACAAAAAAACAAAACAAAACAAAAAAAACGTCAACAAATGCTCAAACATGCTCACAAGATCGACTCCCAACTGTTCTTGAAGATTCCTCCTGTAGAGGGAGACGCCCGACTTAAGCCCAGGGGTCGCTCCCTCCACAATCCCTCCGATTGGATTTCGGTGGCGGTGGTCCCTGTTTCTCCGTTTCTCTTCTGATCTGGGGGGGGCGAGCACCGATACCGCTGCTCCCTGGCTCTCTCCTGGGGGGCGCCTTGGCAAAACAATATCGAAGCGAATCTGGCCGCGGCGACACGGGGCCTCCCAGGGGGTCCAAAAAAGCGGGGCCTTTTCCTCCTCCGATCTCCTCCCCTGGGCGAAGGCAGCGGCGCGCGCGTCGCGCGTGGGAGCTTCTCCGAATGCGCCGGCGGCGTGGAGCGCAAGAGGTGCTCCGGCTGTCCGGCGGGCGGCGGGCGCAGAGGAACAAAAAACAGCACAAGCATAATTTCTCGGAGGTCCGCGGACCCCCGTCCCTGGCGCGCGGAGCGCGCCAGGGGCGGCGCCAAGGAGCGGCGCCAGGGGGAGGGGAGCTCCAGCGCCGATCCAAAAAATTCGCGCGGAGCACCAAGCAAGTATGTAGCTCCGCGTACGAAGTCTAAACCCGCGCGGATGTCGTGGAGTATAGTAGACCGGATTAGTAGACTTGGTTGGTGCTTTTATCTATACATACGTATGTTATGGAGCAGACTGTAGATCCAAAAAATTCGCGCGGAGTATTCGCGCGTATGTCTAAAGTCAGAACTGAGAATCGGGGGAGATGCGTGATGGGGAAGCAAGCCCTTTGGACGTGCATGCCGAAGCTGCACGGGCGGGGCTGGCAATCGAGTGTGGTCAAAGATAAAGCGAAGAGGCAAGGATGCAAGGACAACCTTGTGAAGGTTACCCACATTATCATTTGAAGCCTCCAGATGGGGTCGGAATATTGCCGATGCATCGCAAATGCATCGGCGATGCACCGGCGATTTCGGCGTGGACAATATCGAATTCCACATCGATGTATCGGCGATGCGGCGCGATCCTCCGACCGCATCTCCCTGAGATTTGCCGTTGCGAAAAATTGCAACATCGCAAAAGTCACGACCAGAGCCCTGGACACCATCTTCCTGCGTTTTTTGTTCGAGACGGATCGATATGCGAGGGTCCCGGGGCCCGAACCAGGGCGGAAACGCCCGCTGTGACAGAATCGCAACGCCAGGATAGTTCAGGGCCACTGGGCCACTGCGACCCCATGTCTGGGAGCCCCGGAATGAAGGCTGCGACTGCGTGCCGTCTTTTGCTCTTCGAGTGCGGGCGTTGGCGGGCGACGGCCACCGGCGCGCGGCGATGCGCGGCGCGGCCGCGAGGGTGCGCGCCCGGGGTCGCGGGGAGCGCGCTGGGGCTCGTGGCAGGGTGCCGGCTTTTGGCGGCGGCAGCCTGCAGCGAGGATGGGAGCGCGAGCCAGGAGAGGGAGGCAGAGAGCAGGCCAAGCGCGGAAGGGAGAAGGGGAAGGAGGGGGGAGGAGGAGAAGTAGGAGGAGGAGGAGGAGGAGGACACTCACAAGGCTTATGGGGGAGGCTAAGGGTTGGCCGACCCGACGCTAGCCCAAAACCTAGTGGCGCAGAGCCAGTGTTCGGGTCGATCGTATCGCCCGATCGCAGACGGCAGGGATGCACCTTGGCCCCCGCCTCAACATTGCCGCAGCATTCGGGCACGCTGAAAAAATCCGTTCCTTCTCAAGGACGGTTTCATGAGAAACAAGCGACAGACAGCACAGAGACTGCATGCACCGTCAATCCGCACATACTCAGGGAAGGTTACACACACACACACAGACACACACACACACACACACACACACACACACACACACACACACACACACACACACACACGCACACACACACACACGCACACACACACACACACCTCGGCGAGAGACAGCACAGAGACTGCATGCACCGAAAATCCTCTCCTTCAAGGAAGGTTTTACACACAACGGCGAGAGACAGCACAGAGACTGCATGCACCGTGATAGTGGAATTGGCCTCACACACCAGTACAAAATGAGATTCGTGGGCACAGGCCCACTCCGTGCCAAATCATCAAAATGTCGCCGCCAACAGCCGCTGCCTCCAGGAAGGCCCGGCGTCAGACTGGCGACGGCGCTACCAGCGGCCGTTGACTCGAGGGGGACCTTGGCGCCAGGCGCCCGGCGGATCTCCTCAGCGGCCCCGCGCTCGATCTGATGATGCGACGCGGTCTCGTAGATGAGCTCCCCGATGGACGTCGGACTCGCCAGCGTCTCCAGCTCGCGCGGGCACTTGGCCACTGCTGCGTTGCGCGCGCTCTCGATGACCGCCTTGCAGACGAGGTTGATCATGACGTCGGGGAACTTTTTCGCGACCTCCCCAACAGCCTTGTCCTCGATCTGTTTCTGCGGCGCGACCTCGCGGAGGAGCTTCGCGATGGCCGACGGGCTGGGCAGCGTCATTGGCCCCCGCGGGCGCGCGGCCGCCCCCGCGCCCCACGCGCGCTCGAACCGTTTCTCGCGGTCGGGCTCGAATTTAATGTCGGGGGCCTGATTCGTGATCACATCGCGTATCTCCTCGACGGCCTTGTCCTCGTTGGGGTTGAACGCCTGGATAGTTTTCTCGATATTCGCGTCCGGGCCGTGCGCGATCGCCGCCGTGGGTTCGCCGATGACCTGAGGGATGTTCATCCCAAAGTTAGTGATCGGGCCCTACTTGGGCTGCCTCTGCGCCTCGTTGATATACGCCTGCACAACGGCCGCTGCACGGTTGACCTTCGCCCCCAGGTTATCCTCGGCGGTCTCTTTCACCTTCGTCAGGGACATGGCAAAGACCTCATCGGCCCGCGTGTCCTCGGGCGCCCCCTTCACCTCGACGTTGTCGAAGGGCCTCTTGATCTCGTTTGCGATCTTGAGCGCCAGCAGCTTCGTGCCCTTCTGCGCCGCGCAAAAGGCATCGGTCGCATTGCTGATGAGCTCGCACAGGAAGATCTCCTCGTTGAAGTAGGAGGTGATACTGATCAAACTCATGAGCTGCTGAGCGTCCATGGTCTCGGACGGCGCCTGCTTGGCCATGGCGCACTTCGCGAAGCACTGCCTGCCCCGCCGCTCGCGCCGAAAAGGGCGCCAGCTGCAGGCCACCACGAGGCGCCCAGGCGCGCGCCCGCGCGCGCCGCTCGCGGGGCCCAGGGAGCGAGAGGCCAGCTTGAGCCAGGAGGAGGAGGGGGAGGAGGAAAAAGAGGGGGGGGAGGAGGAAGGGGGGGAGGAATGGAATGGAATGGAATGGAATGCCCATTCGGGGAGAATGCACAGCGCCAAACACTGAGCTCAGTCTCACATCGCTGGCCTCGGGCTGAGGCCCCCTCCCTCATTAGGCATCCTCTCCATGAAAGCAGCCAACCGCGGCTCACGTGGAGGGGCGGCCCCCGATGCCGAGGGAAAAATAACCACCGTAGAGTCAGGAATCGCAAGACTAAAGATGGCGGGGGCCTTCCGACGGCCTCTTAGGGACCAGCCGAGCAAGGGGGGCAGTTCTGTCCAGGAACCCCCGGCACTTCCTATCGTCGGATTTACGCAGGAAAAAACGGCGGATAACCTCCCGGCCTTTCTCAGCGGGGCGCACGCAGGGACTTGCCAAATTTAAAGCACGGCCCCGGGCCCCCCCCCACCCCACACTTCAAACAAACAAGGGTTTGCATTTCAGGGGCCGCACGCAACGTCGACGTGGCAGGATGTCGAGCAAGTCCAGCCGCGACGACGAGGTGCCCCTGGGGGTCCCTGAGCAGCCTGCCTATGAGGGGCGGCACGCCGGCGCATCCTATCATATCAAGCTGAGATCGCACGTTACCACCGAGCAATAGACATCTGGTGCAACGCCACTCCGCGGGCCCGTCGATCCACGAATGCCACCCCGCCCCGGGCCCAAAAGTGCCGCGCCTCGGAGGGCGGGGAGGGCGGGGCCACCTGAGGTCATTCTTATACGGCGGCCGAACAGCAGCGGCTATCGCGACAATGTTATTCGCCCTCTCGAGGGCAAGGTTTATCGCAGACAAAAACGCAGGGCCAGCACCTTCGCGCTGCATCAAACAATTATTTGCACGGCGGTCCACAAACGAATTCGCAACCACAAACTCTCTTTCATCCGACGGTAAAGCATATATGACTTCCTGGGTCCTGTGGGCTATCACATGCCTGACCTCCTGGAGCCAATCCGCGCCTTCGAGGTTCTGCGCGAAGAGACGACGTCCTGCAAGCTTGGGCTAGGCAACCAAATGCTGACTGACACGGCGCTGCGTGCTTTTGATCGCTGCCATGCAATCTGCTCCGAGCACCGACGGCATGTTTGCCGCCTGGCCGCAAAGAGCAATCGCCGCATGCTCAGACATCGCGGGGGTCTGAGGAAGAGCGCCGTGGACTACGCCACGCATCGCAGCCCAAGGCTCCGGCGGACCACGCCTGTCGGGCAGCGCGCCTGGAGCCCAAGCCGCCCGCTGCAGTGGAAAGGTCGGCGGCTTGGAACAGGAACCGTCGGATGCCGATCGGAGCACCTGATCACTGGAATTGTCCGCAATGACTTCCAGACACATGTCTAGCGGGTTGCCCAAGACATCAAACAGCGCAACCTTCGACGACGCACTTGGCTCGGGCAACTCAATATCCGGGCAAACAAAGATCCCACGCGCGAGAATCTCGAGGTCCGGATCTCCGAGCGCCGCCTGGATATGCTCAGGCGCGGCATCCGATTCATCTCTAGCTATCTGGACATCTCTGCGCGTGCATGTGTAAAGCCTGTGGTCGAGCGTCGACCTGTCCGCACGCGCGCAAACCGTCCGTCGCGCACCCCGAACGACGACCCCGATCATTGGTCCACACCCCATTGCACCCACAGCATTTCACTAAAAACTAGGCGTGTCTACCTAATCCCTTGGCTCTTGGCACCAACCGATCCCGCGCGAGATCCAAGCTGGCCCTGCGCCCAGGGGGGTAGCCCAACTTCGCCGCTAACGCCATCTCACGCAGGCGTTGGATACTGATACCAATCATGCGAGCCAGCAGACACGGGGGAGACTGATCTATCATCGCCGTGAAACCGTTGTGATCGCCCATTCAACTGGGCCTAACACTTCCCAGCCAGCCCGCTGGAGCACTAGTACCGCTCTACGAATCGGGCCGCGAGAGGGGCTCGAAGGGCCACCCTGCAGAGGCTGGGCCGAGTCCCAGAGCCTAATAAAAGCTCAACCTTACTGACTAGTGCTCTCGCGGGCTGGGTGGAGGCTACCCATGCATTCTACACTGATGGATAGCAGGGGCAGCCGCCAGCCGAGAACTCTTGTCCCCGAGAAGAACGAGTCTAGCTGTCAGTGAAACACCCCCATGGCATGGGGCGTCCGAGCTGCAAATCACGCGCCGGAGGGAAACCCATTCGGCCTGGCGCAGGCTTAAAACTTCAGCACCGAAGCTGCTTGCAGGAGCAGCCCCGGCGCGGCAAATCCTGGAAAGGGGGGCTTCGTTGCTGCCCTTGAACCGTTTCCAATAAAAATTGACTTTGCGGATTATCACCTTCATTCCTGTGAAGCGCCTGGCCTGCTTCACTCTGGCCCCTGCAGCGCTGCGCCTGGCCCCAGCTGCCTCGTCGACGCCGAGGTAGGAGACGCAGTTCTTCAGGATCGAATGCGGCCATCCTAGCATGTCGAGCACAGCAGTGCCCATTTCCTTGGATGACACCGGCAGAACAATCTTCTCGGAGTTGAGCACAGCTGACAAATTCTCGGAAGTACGTTGGAGTTCCACCATCGCATTGACTGCAACCGCGATCGCCATATACACATCTTTTGAACCATTGCTTATCGCAGCATCGTCGATGTAGCTCAGAAAATCGACCGCTGGGCATCTTGATATGAACTTGTCGAACTCAACGCGCGCATAAACTTTGACGGCCAAATCGTCGCAAGCACCCCCGGCGCGTAGCCCGCAGACTGCGAGAAAGGGGCAGGGTGGAGTGATGCATGCCCGATCTGGCGACGCGTGGCGCTCGCCAAGTGTCGAAGACAAACTCGAGCCTGCACGCAGCCAAACTTGAGAAACTTCACTCTTAATGTCTCCAATGATATGGATTCATAATATGTTGACAAATCGATAACCCACATGAGGTGGTTTCGCTGCCGCGCTCGATCGCTGTCGGCACGAGCGGCTTGAAGCGAAGCACAGCCCAGGGCAGAGCGACCTTTCGCCGCTCCCCAGAATCCTCTTGAAGGCTGCGGACTGATACATGACACCATCCATCGGCGGGCTCCCTGCCATATGCGATAAGTACCAGCAAAGAGAATGAGTCTGCTTCCACCTGATGATTTGCCTAACATCGGCATCTGAATCCAACGCAACTGTTTGGGAAGTAATCCAATTGCCCCCGAGCGCTGCCATATGAGACTGAGCACCTCCAACCCTTCATCATCCATCATCAGCGCATGCCTCGGGTGGAAGTGGTCGAGACAGGCCGACGCGCCCGCAGAGAACGTCTTGGCAACCGTTCTGATCAGGTCAAGCTCGAGGACAGGGCACGCGGCACGATCTGGCACCAGTGCGCATGGTGCCCCACTGCTTGCCTCCCAGAGCTTCTTGTGCATGAGAACTTCCTTTTCGACTATGGCAATGGGGCCCCCAGAAACAACAGGCCCTCGGCACTGGGCCGGCCCTGGAAGCGCCCTGACCTCGGTGAGCCTGCGCAGCGCACGAGCTCCTCGAGATGCGGATTCAGAGCGCCAGCCAAGGTCCTGCTGAGCACGTCG